ATGTTTCCCTTTACGTGATAGCGAAGCCGAAGCTACTCGCAACAGCACGTACTCCTGGACGATGCTCGCACTGCACGAGCGCGCGTGCTTGGCCGGGACGCTGAAAGCTCGCAGCTCGCTCTTGTAGCCTCTGCTACACTGGCACTTAGAAGGGAACGGAGTAGGAAAAACTCTAGTGGGGAAGCGTATTGACGCATGTTTGAAAAGCGAACTAAATATTCTCTTTTTCCCGCCTGGAGCGCTGCTCAAAATTTGAGATCTACGGCCTATAGAGTGCCCGGTCGCAGATTAGAAGCGCGAAAATCTGGTAGCACAAAGCATTTCTCAGGGAATCTGGTATTCAGCGCACAGCTTTTGCAGCGGCGAGGACCCAAAACATGGTTTGCAAACCCGACGAGAAAAGAAGCGGTATCCCGAGGAACGTGAGAAGCACGAGCGGACATTTCATTGCTCGGGACAAGTGCACTCTTTAAAAAAAAAAAAAAAAAAAAAAGAGTCCCTGTGACTCTTTTTGGGGGGTATTGGCGCGCCGCAGATTTGACTCCTCCACGACTTCAGTTTGTAGAGTCACTTGTCTCTTATTTAAAAAAGAGTCCTGCGACTTTCATCACACTGGAGTCATGGTAGTGTATGGGCGACTTTAGGTGACGCAGTCAACTGCGACTCTTTAACGACTCTTATCCAACGGAAAAAAAGGGTCACACGACTCCTTCCTGGTAATCCCCGTGACTCTGTAACAAGAGTTGAGGACCCTCCTTTTATGAAGAGTCCACCGACTCCTATCGCAAAAGAGTCATGAGAGTGTATGAGCGACTCTCCGAAAGATAGTCAGTGATGACTCTCACTTTCTCTGGAGTATAGCAGCCCTAGTCAAGTATCAGTTTGTTTAACAAAAGGAGGCATTGTGATCGTTAGGAGACTTTTTTCCGCCTGCCAGGTTCAACTTGAATTTCCCTAAAAAAATGGTAGTAACATCAACTGTGTGAAAGTGTAAAAGTTGAAATGGAAACTTTGATTCCACCTAAAAGAAGCGGTAACATCAATTGTCTGCAAGTGTAAACGTCGAAATGCAGAACTGATATCGTACAAATTTCTGTAATGAAACATGGAAAAATTAACGATGATGGTCTTAACAATGCTGAACTGAATGCTGCTCTAAAAATGTATCATGAAACACAACAGAAGCTTTCAGGATAGCATTGTTTTGCTACATTGGAGTTTGCACACAACAAAAAAAAAAAAAGTAAAAGTTTTTTTAATCGGCAGCTTAAATTTCTATTAGTTTGATTATACTTATCATTTACAATAGGTTGTATATCTTTTTTATCACATGTCTGAACTATTGGCAAGAGCTGGTGTGAACGAGCATGTTCTGTTGCTTCATGCCTGCTTTGAGTGGACTTGAAAGTATAAAACAGAGAGGACGAGGGCGGGAGCAGTGCATCTTACATTTAGCAACAACATAGAATGGCACAACCATAAACCGCCCCCAAGGGTCTCAACGTTCTCAAAGAGGGAAAGGAGATACTAGTTATAAAGGAAAGGGAATACACTAAATATATAAGTTTGAAAAGCGCATCACTAATCTGGTTATCTCTGATTACTTAGAATTCGACCTTTGTCATTGTCAGTGATCATGCAGAATTATTCTTGTTAGCAGTCCAAAAGGGAAATGTACGATAAATATAAGAGTTTAAAAAGCTGTAGCGTCACGACGAGGTGTCAGTAAGATAGTCATCTCTGGTGATAAGAATTCGACTTCTGTCTTTGTCAATGATAATGAAGGTGCGGGAGTGTTGTTGTTTACAGCCCCCATGGCAAATGATTCAATGATTTCTCTCCCAAATCTGTTGTTGTGCCCGCCCAGTATTTTAGTATAAAAAAAATGAGGAGTACAGTCATCGCATGTGCGGCTGTGAACGACAATGGGGTGATACGACTCATTTGAAACCTTTGATGCTTCCAAGTTGTGTTCTCTGAGTCGATGGTTGACGCATCTCCCAGTCTGTCCAGAATACTGACTGCCACAGCTTAGTGGAATTGAATAAACCTTTCTTTCTTCGCACTCTACGAACTTTTTAGCATGTTCTACATAGCACCCTCGGGGACTGTCGCTCCTATTAGCCTTTTTGCACAACTGTTTGATGCGCATAGGATACGAAAAACCACACTCGTGTCGAACTTGGACGTTTAAATTCTATCGCGTCCAAGTTCGACACGAGTGTTTTTTTCTTGCGCTTTAAAGGCCCCAACAGGAGCATTACATAAGGAGTGTGTGTGTGTGAGGGGGGGGGGAGTGTTTCAAAAAGGCGTGTTATCAAACGTAACTAGTTTAATGCTTGACAGAAGGTTACAATGTGGACGGTATCTGCGTCCGCCATGCTCGCCGGTTTCTTCGTCTCCTCGCGTAAGTGATGGGGGAAGGCCCGTACGCCACCGCATGCCTTGGGTGGTGGCGCCATCTGTCGGCTCATCTTCTAACATCTTCGTTTGTTTAAGTAGGGACTACCCCACAATAAAGTCTTGAAACTTCTTTGGTAGAGCTGCTGTTCTCTTTGGGCGCGTAGGGGTACGGATTGGGGCGAGTTGGTGGTCAGGCTCGTACGTCTCAGGTACTGGTGTCGTGTCTGGTTCGCGCTGAGGGGAACTTTTGACCTGGGGTGTTCTGTGGTGCTCACAATCGTCCTGAGTAGTAGTAGGGACATCTGCTTCAGCTTGCTGGCAACTGGGTATATATCGTATGTGCACTCCGTTGCGGCGTAGCACGCCGTCACTGACCTGTACCTTGTATGACCTGTCACCAGATTGCTCCTTAATGGTTCCCTTTGTCCATAATTCTTCTTTGGTTGGGGAACCATCACATCTTGTCCCATGCTCAGAGGTTGAAGGTCTTTGGCCTGTTTGTCGTGATAGAAGAACATCCTTCGTTTCTTCTGCTCCAACTGGTTTCTGGCACTGACAGTTTTTGGCAGCAGCTGCTTGGTTGTCGTTGGTACACATGTGCGTGTGCGTCGACCCATGAGGAGCTGTGCAGGGCTTGCATGCATGTGTTGCAACGGCGTGTTACGATGGTCGAGAAATGCCATCTGAGGATCGCCATTGCTTTCGTCTGCTTTCTTTAAGAGCATTTTGACAGTCTTCACGGCAGACTCCGCCCTACCGTTCGGTCTTGGGTATCGTGGGCTGGACGTGACATGTTCGAAGTTCCAATCGTTCGAGAATTTGTTGAACGCTTCACAAGCAAACTGTGAGCCGTTGTCCGTGATCAGAACACTTGGGATGCCGTGTCTTGCGAAGTGTGCTTTCAGTCTGCGTATCACATGGGCAGATGTTAACGAGTTGAGTTGGTCGACCTCCCAGAAGTTGCTGTAATAGTCCACTATGGCTAGGAAGTGCTTGTTCTTGTGTTCCAGTATGTCGCATCCAACACGTTCCGACGGAACGTCTGGTCTCGGGTGTGGTTTCAGCGTCTCTCGTTGTTGCGCTGGTGCATGTTTCTGACACATATTACAGGCTGATATGTGGTCCTTGATTTCAGCATTCATGCTCGGCCAGAAAATACTGTCACGTTCACGTCGTAGAGTGCTTTCGATACCCATATGCGATGAATGTAGCTTTTCTTTCATCTCTACACGGAGTGCTTTTAGGATCACCAGTCGTTGTCCCTTTTAAGCGATGTCATCTTCCACGACAAGTTCGTCTCGGAAAGGGAAGTACATCCTGATTTCTGGTGCAACATTGTGCCTTTCCTGCGGCAATCCTGTTAGGATCACTGCTTTCAGCTTTTGCAAGGTGTCATCCTTCAGGGTTGCGTTGCGGATCTTTTTTGCAGTATCCTCTCGCACAGGTAGGTGGTTCACCACGTTGATGTCTTCGAGCTGCTGTTCGCAATGGTCGTCTGGCAAGAATGCTCGTGACATCGTATCGGCCAGTAGAAGTTCCTTTCCTGGTCGGTACTGCAGGTCAATGTTGTAGCGTTGAGTCTGTAGGATCATCCCTTGCAGTCTTCTTGGAACTTGGTCCAGCTGCTTCTTCATGATGGCTTGTAGTGGGTTATGGTCTGTGATTACAGTCGTCAGTCTTCCGAAAGTGTACTGGTGAAACTTGTTCAACGAGAAGACTATGGCAAGCATCTCCTTCTCTATCTGCGCATACCGCACTTCAGTAAGCGTGAGAGCTCTGCTCGCAAAGGATAATGGCTGTCCATCTTGAAGGAGTGCAGCTCCTAAGCCACGTTCACTGGCATCGCATTGTACCATCAGCGGTTTCTGTGGGTAGTAATATGCCAACACTGGGGCTCTTTCTACCAAGTTCTTTGTCTCTTGAAATGTGTTGTCTTGTTCATCGCTCCATGCCCATGGTTCACTGTTGATGACCAGCTTTCTGAGCGGTTCTGTGACCTGGGAGAGCTTTGGCAGAAAGCGTGCAAGGTAGTTGAGCATACCACAAAAGTGGACCTTGGACGTCAGTTGGAGGGGGCATTTCTTGAATGGCTCTGACCTTTTCAGGGTCAACACGTAGTCCGTCTTTTGTCAGCAGGTGCCCCAGAAATGTTGTACTTGTGCGATGCAGCTCCGTCTTGTCTCGGTTGAGTCGCACACCAATCTTCTGACATCTCTGCAGCAGGTTTTCCAGCTTCTTGTCATGGCCACTGCGAGCTTCTGCATCTGTTTCGCCGATACCATATGCTAGAATGTCATCTGCCACACACAGCACACCACTCAGTCCATCCAGAGCTGACTGCAGTCTCTTCTAAAAGATTTCGCTCCTGACAGCGAGTCCAATCGGAGGCGTAGCCATCGGTAGCGTCCCATTGGTGTCTGGAAGGGAGTGAGAAAGCTAGACTCTTCGTCCAGGATACATTGCCAGTAGCCGTCTCGTAGGTCCAACTTCGAGAATATCTTTGTATTTGCGACTTCAGGCAAAATGTCATCCAGGATCGGTAAGGGGTGCCTCTCCCGCTCAAAGGCTTCGCTGACAGCCTGAGGATCAATGCAGATTCACATTTCACCATTTTTCTTTGTAGCGATGACCATTCGGCTGACCCAAGGTGTCGGTTCCGTGACACTCTTGACGATTCCTGTTAGTTCCAATCGTCTTATAGTTGTCTCGAGCTGAGGCTTGATGTTCACTGGGACTCGGCAACTTGTCACTGCTTTGGGACATGCCGCTGGATTGGTCACAAGGTGTACGGTCCCGGGCAGAGAGCATACAGAGGTTCCAAAAACATCGGGGTACCTCTTCGTAATGTGGTCTCTTGAGTTCACTTCACCAACGCTGGCAACCAGGTCGTAGTCAACCGTGATTAGCCCGATCAGTTCAGCTGTCTTCCGTCCTATGAGGGGTGTGAAGTCGATACGGACCACAATGAAGTCAACGACGTGTTTCTGCCTGTTGGCTGTAGTCACCCTCAGCCTTGCCTTGCCAGATGGGATGACTTTCGTGCCATTCCACATGCGCAGGGTTGTCGAGGTTGGCTCGATATGTCTGGGCGTCACACTCTTGTGGTTGATAACATTCACTGCAGCTCCACTGTCCACTTGGAACTTGACTTTTCTTTCATTGACGGTCAAGGTTGCAAATAACGAGCTTGCTTTGCCGTCCTGCACCGTGAGTATCTCTTCTGTTGAGTCGTCGTCGTGCGCCTCCACATTGGCGACGGTCTTGGTGCTTTTGCATAACGCTGCAAAATGGTTCCGCTTCTTGCACTTGTTGCAGGTTTGGTTCCATGCTGGACATGCTTGTCTTGCGCGCTCGTGAGTCCTGCCGCAGTACCTACAGCTCTGTACTGGTTGCTTGAGCGCAGTCTGTTTGTCTTTCTCTCGGTCGGCACGTGGTTGTCGGCGGCGATTGCTGCTACCCTTCATTGCGTGGACTTCGACCGTGGTGCCTTCTCTGAACACCTTCATTTGAAGCTTCGTCGACTCGTGCACTAGGCATACCGTGACGACTTTTTCGAGCGTCGGTTTTTCTAGTTTCAGAATGTCCGCACGTGCTTTCTCGTCGTTTACTCCACAGACGATTTGGTCGCGGATCATCTTCTCCTTTTTTGTTCCGAAAATGCAGTCGCAGGTTTTCAGTTTCAGGTCGGTCAGAAAAGTGTCGAACCTCTCGTCGGGGAGTTGTACTCGCATGCGGAAGACGTAGCGTGAGTACACTTCGTTCTGCTTCGGCAGAAAGTGCGCATCCAGTAGCTTCACAACGTGGTCGAAGTCAAATTCAGGGTGCGGTCTCGCTTCCGTACACTCTCCGAAGTCCAGAGTATTGTAAATGTCTAGCAGGCTTGGTCCTCCTACCGTGAGAAGAAGTGCGACTTGCCTTTCCGATGATGCTCCAGCGGCATCGGTCGCTTTCAGGTACTGCGTGAAGGCTTGTTTGAACGTGCGCCATCGTTCCGCAGCGTTGCTGGCGTTTTCAAACTTCGGCGGCGGCGGGATCCTGTCCATGCTTGCTTCCGTTGTCGTGGCGGTCGTAGCTCAAGCGTTGGCTATTGCCGCTTCTGACACCATGTTTCAAAAAGGCGTGTTATCAAACGTAACTAGTTTAATGTTTGACAGAAGGTTACACTGTGGACGGTATTTGCGTCCGCCATGCTCGCCGGTTTCTTCGTCTTCTCGCGTAGGTGATGGGGGAAGGCCCGTACGCCACCGCATGCCTTGGGTGGTGGCGCCATCTGTCGGCTCATCTTGTAACAGGAAGTACATGAAAAATACAAAAGATCAACACATGGACAGACAGGTGACTGACACCTACAGTGCTGGTAAGTAATATAAACAGTGAGAACAATCGTGTGTGAAATAAAACTGGTACATAAATACACTAGCAAAAACAGTAATTAAAGCATTGCGGAACAAGACGGGGTCACCTATGGCCAGGCACAACCAGGGTAATCACCGACTCACACCAAGCATAAAGGAGCTTCCAGTCCGGCTTGGTGTCCTGCTGCTGCTATTGTCTGCTTTTTCTTTTAAAGGAGTATCAATTTAAGGCTAAAAGGGAACGCAAGTAATAAATCAGTAAGTGCACTGAGAGCACTTGAAGCACAAGGGACACGCTCCCTACTGAGGACAGAGGGGAGGGTACCAAGTCTAGCTGAACCTGTTTTGCAGCACCCTGCATAAGCTAGGTGCTGGCAAGACTGGGGCTTATCTACTGAGAGTGTCTAGTACAGTCAAAGAAAGCATTATAAAGTTCTCTGCTGGGCAAGCTGCTCCATGGCTGCAATAAAAAAAGAGTACATTAAGACAGGGACAAAGAAGGAAGGGAAGACTTTTTTTCTGAATAAACTAGTTGGTAGTGAGCGCTTGTTTCATCCTTTCTCGTCCCCGTCTTATTGTGCTCCCTTTTTAGTTGAAACGAAAGCAAGCCACGATGGAATTTAGAGAGGGCTAAAAGCTTGCTTTAACATCTGTGTGCTTGTGAGGGAACGCTTCATGTACGAGGCCTACTACAAGGTAGTAATTATCACAATTTTCCGTCTGAGTAACAAAATAATGCATCTCTGCATTACAAAGTATCCTATAACTTTTCGCGTGCTGTACAGATATAGGCATATTTTGCATGCAGAAAAGGGGGGACACTAAAACTAATAGTAATTTGTTTATCATCCTTGCTTAGATAAATGTTTCTGAAGTTGGGCATGAAAGAACCGCCTTCGAACATGAACCCGAATCTGGTCTTTGGTTTGTTTTAAGTCATGGCCAAGTACTCCTAATAAAATATTGAAATAACCATTTGAGAAGAGAGCGGATGATACTTATCTCACTTGGTCTTTAGCTTTAAAAAGAAATATGTTTACAGATTGACCCCCCATAGCGAAGACACCCTTTCAAACTGATTTATCTTAAACAACCATAGTTACATGTGATTTATCTTTAGCATGAGTAGTTACATCGACAATGCAAACGGCACGGCTTTCCTCCGCTCTCGTCCCTTCCCCTATCTTGTTGTCTTTTTGCAAAGATCGGCGATTATAAGAATAGCGTAGGCATTGATGACAGCAAACGGAGCTTGCTAGTGGTTGTCTGCACCAGTTTAATCATAGCAGTCTAACCCTCTCTTCCAGGAATGCAAACAAAAAGATGCTTTCCCCCTGAAAAAAAAAGGAGTAAAGTGGATCGGAGTATGACCTTAGCACCTCTATACTCACAAAGCATGCCAGTTCGATGACGGAGTCATAGAGTGCCTGGTCACAGATTTGGAGCGTGAGTATTCGGTAGTACAGAGCATTAAAGAGTCATTCCTCGGGGAACCTGGACGTCAGCACACAGCTTTTGCAGTGGCGAGGACCCCGAAACATACTTTTTTCGTGTTTCGCGTCCGCTGTGGCGAGACTCTTCTCCGTTGTATACCCGTCCACCTTTTCCATTTCGGCGACCGCTTCTTGTGGCAATCTGCCAGGTTTTGTCAGTATAAAGGAGGCTATCGTGCGGCATATAATGGTGCTGTGTAGCGGGGCACCCTCCTGCTGTTTGATATTGGGCAGCCCCTTAGTCCACAGAACTCTGAGAATGTAGAGGTTATCTATCCTGCCTGTGACATTATCTACAACTCGCAAATTTCAGTGCTGCATTGGATTGTTTACAGCAAGGCATGCAAGTGAGTCATGTTTTTTTTATCCGCAAAACTTTCAAATGGCCCAATTGTTTACCTTGGAAAAAACTGCACGGTTCGGGGCACAGCCACGCAAGCGGCAAGGCGTTGACGCCAAGACGTCCCGTTCTCTTTTCCTCGCTGGCTCTTGTGGTACCCTTGTCTCCGTCGACTGAAAGGAAAATCCCTTCAGTGTCGTGCATACTTGAGCCTCCGCTGAAGCAAAAATTATTCTATATGAACCTACCTGCCATTAAAGACCAAAGTTTACTTCTTCACTCTTACTTCCTACCCACCTAATGCAATGGTTTGTTAACAGGAACACCACAGTTAACTAGACAACTCATTCGTAATGCAAGTCCTCCTTAGTAATGAATCATGTGCAAGGTCTAATGAAACAACAAGCATGGGCACTAAAGACACCCTACTACATGGGGGAGTATTAGTGGACCCGATTCGGATAACATTTGCGAGGCCTAGCTTGACAACATAATAAATGACATCGTTCCTGGTCACAGTATTTTTTTCTAGATGCCTTGGCATTAGTTCTGGCCTTGGACTGGTTTTGAGAGCACCCATATAATGTTTGCAACTTTGCCATGGGAACCACGAAGTTCTTTCAAAACTAAATTGCAAGCTTTAAAATAAAAATACAAGAAAAGTTGTACAGATGCACGAATATAATCACCATTGTCTATGCCCGTACCTGCTGGCACCTGTTTCCAGAAAAATCAACAAATACCAAAGTAATACACATATTATACATCGTGAAGAGGCCTGCTGACAACCTGATGAACAGTATATTGAATGCCAATAACGAATGAACTGTTAAGTTTTCCGCTCACTGCATGGTTCTCTAAAGGCCCGTTCACACTCTTGCGGCCTCTTAAAACTGGGTTCCATAAAACCTCTTACAACGAGAGGACACACCGGCGCCATTTATTGGGTAGCAGAGTAAACTTGGCGGTCCGGCATATTTGCTATTTTTCTGGTGCATTTTCCTTTCTTTTTTGGCTCGAAAAACTTTTGTCAAGGTTATAAACTAGCCTTTCTTATAGGTATTACGCCCCTGCGACCTCGGAAATCCCGCGAAACCTTCGCTCTTGTAAAATGCAGTTCCAGTATCACCGCATAGATGGCGCCAGAATGCCAGTGTGTACCCTCGTCCTAAGAACTTTTAAGAAGTTTTAACATATCTCGTCTCTCTTGGTCGTACTCGGTTGCAAGAGCTTGAACGGGCCTTAAGACTCAAGTTTTTGCCAACTGTGTTCATTCTCTTTAATCTTGGAAAGTGCTTCCAAGATAGCAGTGCCCATGCATCCTAACGAAGTTGCTGGTGCATGCTTGTGACACCCTCGAAAGCTTCTGCCGTTGACTTTGGAAACCTCTGGACGCACACATACTGCGGTTCCATCCTCCCGTCGAGGCTATCCGCTTGCGCTTGCACAGCTTTCGCAGTTAGTTTATGCTGAGGCGAGACGAGGTATTGTGGCATTTGCACATTCAAGATAGCAAAACCCACCACATGTCGGCTCCGAGCGGCATGATGATGATACCCAAGAGCTATTTCGCGTATGGTCTATAAAATCTGTATAATGCACGATGCTGAACATGCCAATCGCTACATAGTTTAGAGCCGGGAAGGTGGACATGCAGCAAGGCACGCACCTGCAATTGCATCCACTTTGGCGGGTGTAATGGGCTTCCTTCCCACGGCGCCATACTTTGTCACGCCTGGTAGGTTGGCTTGTCATACTCCTATTCACCAGGTCCTCGCCCTTGTAGAGGCACCGGGACAACAGGATCAGCAAAGCGAGTCGAACTTGGTCTTACCTATAGCCCAGTCAACTTTTTTTTCTGGTAGGCAAACCCCACCTTGGAGGTAACGCTGCAAGTGTAAACATAATCATAAACAAACAGGTGCTCAAGCAAATTTTAGTACAGGTATAGTGCCTGGACGTTTTCTCCAATGGTGCAATTGGCATCCTGTTCCTCCCATGTATTAAGAGTTGTCCCAAGGAAGCAACAATGATGTTACGAAACCGAAAGTGTCATGCTGTCGCAAGTCTGCAGTTGGTCTTCAAACCTCTGGTGAATAAGACAAGCAGGCACCAGTGCCGCTGTCGTCATGACGTCCCAACTTGTGACTGAAATTACTGTGGACTGTCGAGGCACCGAAAAGAATGGTGCGGCAAACATACTGTATTGCTAACCCCACCTAAAACCCCTTAATGAGTTCGTGCTGAGTTTCGTAAGTGGCATCAAAGCGCCTGAGCAGGAGACACGTGCAGGACTTGGAAGCAAATGGCGGTGTAGCTCTGAAATGAGAGGCACTTGGAAGTGAGTGGCAGCACGGCACTCACTCGTGGCACGTGTCTCTCGCTTTCAGACAATTAAGGCTGGACTGCATGTAAGCGATTTAGTGAGCAACGAGACGAGCATTGTCAGCAGCGACAGAGATTTCTCACTGTCGCTTGTAACGCTGCTCGGTTCTTGAATTACTAGAAAACGTCGCTCATCGCATTAATCGCTTGGTCCTGTCGCTTTCATGCAGTGTGCCTCGTCGTGCGGCTGAGCGATAGCAAAAAGGGTCGCCATCGCTTGTCTCGTAGCTCCCTTCATGGCTGTCGGCGCTTGCAAAAATGTGAAGTGTGAATTTTATGTAGGGCTTTGTCCATGCCGGCTCTCAGACTGCTGGCAGAACTTTGAGTTTCGGTGAAATGCGACCACATGCTTTCTCACTTTGCTTATGTACTGAGGAGGAAAGTTGACAAGGAAGTAGTTGAGAAATCAGTTCATGATCTCTTCAAGAAAGTTGTTCGAATTACCCCGTTTTCTGTTGTTATTTTGGCTG